GGGGGGGGGGGAGGCGAAGTCCCGCTTGCCGCTGGTGATGTGGGCAAGGAGGGCCTGGCGGGCCGTGCCGCGCGGCGGACCGCCCCAGGGCGGAGATCGCCCCCGGCATGGGAGCGGGAGCACCCCGCCCCCGCCCCCGCCCCCGTCAGGTCGGGTGCTGCCCCTCTCGGGCACCACGCCGGCAGCCCCAACCGCTGGGGCAGATTGGCCGGGCGGCCCCCAACCGGGCACGCGCGCCCGGGGCCTCCGCCGCAGGGGAGGGCCGCGTGAGCCCTCGCCCTTCCCACGATCTGCCAATGTGCTGGTGCCCGCTTGGCCGGATGCCCCCTTGTCCCTCTCCCCCCTCTCGTTGCCCTGTCCGCGCGGCGGCTCAGTCGGCGCGGGGAGGCCCTCCGGTTCACAGGGCCGCCCGGGCCGCGTGTGCGGATGTTATTTTATCCCCCCCCCCCCGCCCCCGCCCCCGCCCCCACCCCAGCCCGCGACCCCCGCCCGCGCAGCCTGCCAGGACTTGGGGCACGGCGCAAAGGCCATCCAACTCCAATGCTATATGCGGTATGTCCGGGCGCGCGCGCGCGCGCGCGCCCGTGCACAGCGCACTGACCTCGTGAAACGTTCTGGGCCCCCGGGGGTCCTCCCCATCCGACCCGTGTGTCGGGCGTGTGGCGCCCCCTTCCCCCCCCCCCCCCCCCGGCCCCCACCTGGCGGAGGGTCTGCGGCTCGGGCCGGGCGGTTTGCAAGAGACAGATACCTGTTGGGCGCGGTCCCGGAACGGGGGGGCGGGGGACATGGCTCCCCTTGTCCCTCGCTCCCCTCCCTTCCCCCGTGTCCGACACGCACGCGCGCACGTACACACACACTCAAGTGAAACACCACTCGGCCCCGGTGCACTGACGCGCCCGCCCCCACACCCTGGTTATTGGGTATGATCCCTCCCTCCCCCTCCCCTCTTCGCTTTCCTCCCCCGCCCCCCCCCTCCCCTCCCCTCCTGACAGCCCCCCCCCTCCCCTCCCCCGCCCTGCCAGCCCCCCTCCCCCGCCTTCCTCCCTACACGGAACTCCGGAAGCAGCCAGTTCCCGCGCGAGACCCCGTCCCCCGCGTGCGCCCTCCCCGCCCCACCATGACCACCTCAGTCAGTCCTCTTCCCGCCGCGGGAACGAGCGACACCTCCCCCCTGCTGGGCAATGACCCGTCGGTCTCGTACGACTCGGCCGGCCTCTATGCCCCGGAGGAGGATCCTCACGCTCTCAAGGAGAAGCGTATCGAGCGGTGCGCCCTCTTGACTTCTCGCCCGCCCGCCCGCCCGCCCGCCCGCTTCCCTCTCCTCTGGCTTTTCGCTTGGCTCCGCCTCGCACCCCTCATCTCACCCCTTGGCCCCTCCCCCCCCCCCCCAACAGCATCGCCATCGCCATCTCTGTGTTCGTCATGTTCATGGGCTCCATCATGTTTTCTATCACCCTCTCCTCGATGGTCTACTTCTTCGATATCCTCGAGGGTGTGCCGACCATTGAGGCGCGCGACCCGACCCAGTCGCACTACCCCCTGGACGGGATGGGCTTCTACGGGCTCATCGTGGCCGCCTTCTCCCTCGGCCAGGCCATCTCCTCGCCGCCCTTCGGCTACTGGTACAACCACCGCTCCGCTCGCGGCCCCTACATCTTCGGCATGTGCTTCATCTTCTTCGGCTCGGTCCTGTACTTCCTGTGCGTCGGCAAGTGGATGATGTTCTTCGCTCGGCTGATCATCGGCATTGGCGCCGGCACGGCCACCGTTTGCCGGACGCACGTGGCGGTCGCCACCCCGGTGGACAACCGCACCGGTGCCATGGCCCTGGTGGCCGCCGCTCAGGCGGTCGGCTTCATCATTGGCCCGGCCTTCTCGCTGGCCTTCGGCGATGTCAACCTCCGCATGGCTCCCTACCTGTTCTTCGACAAGTATACCGTCCCCGGGTTTGTGTCCTGCCTGCTGGCGGTCATTTCCTTCCTGGCGGTGGTCTTCCTCTTCCGTGAGACCGAGCTCGAGCGCATGAACAAGCTGAATGCTCGCCTGGAGGCCGGCGAGCAGGAGAGCATGCTGGACAAGGTCAATGCCAAGTTCCGCACCCTGGTCAACCGTGCCACCACCACCATGGGCCTGGGCTCGGTCAACTCCAGCGACGACTCTGCCCCGATTGGCGGGTCTTCCCTCAATGCCGACACCGCGGCCAATGTCGAGGTCGATGCCAACGAGGAGGACGAGATTGTCTTCGACCGCACGGCCATCTACGTCAACATGGTCATCTTCTTCTTCATCACTTCCTCCTTCTCGGTGTTCGAGACCATTGCCACTCCCTTCACGTCGGTCAACTTCGGCTGGAGCGTCGCCGACAACTCCCTCTTCCTGACCCTGGCCGGTCTGAGCTCCGTCGTGTCCTTCATCGCGGTCAAGCCCCTGTCCGCTCGTGTTGGCGATCGCCCGCTCCTCTTTGTCGGCCTCATCCTGGCCGCCACCGGGCTGCTCATCCGTGTTGGCTTCGGCTACCCGGACTGGGTCATTTCCGAGACTCAGTATTGGATTTCCACCTTCTGCCTGTACACCATCGGCTACCCGATCTCCAATGCCATTTGCTTCTCGGTCTTCTCCAAGATCATGGGCCCGGCCCAGCAGGGCACCCTGACTGGTTGGCACATGCTTGTCGGTGCCGTGGCTCGCCTGGTTGGTCCCCTGTGGGCCAGTGCCCTGTTCGAGGTCCGTGCTGCTCTTCCTTCTTCTTTCGGCCTTTCCCCTCCCCCTTGCATCTGTGCCATCCTCCTTTCCCGCTCGGCGCCGCGCCTGTTCCCCATCGACTGACATCTTTGGCCTTCCCTCCGTTTCACCTCCTCTTCCAATCCGCATCCCCGCATTCCCGCATTCCCGCATTCCCGCACGCGCACAGGTCGACCAGCGTGCCATGTATGTCTTCGGTCTGACCGCTGCCATGAACTACTTCGCTGCCGTCCTGGTTTTGGTCTTCTGGAAGCGCCTCGTGCCTTACGGCGAGAATGAGCACAGCTCCGGTTACCGTGCCGTCCCGTATGAGGCCAACTCCGACAGCGATTCCGCCTCCAACGAGGACGACTCGGCGCCGCTCCTGTCCGGCTCGGCTGGCGTCGGTGTGTCCGACTTCCAGAAGCCTGTCCTCTCGACGCCTTCCATGTCGGTCCCCTCGGCTTATGACGATCACAACCCGTACCTCGCCTCGAGCCACAACGACACCGCCGGTGCGTGCCCCATCCCTTCTTTCTCCCCCCCCCC